TAGTTTCTTTTTAATTTTGACTTTTCATATTTTTGTTTTGCATTTTATAAAACATATTATGATTACTGATCACCACAGTGTTATCCTAACTGAGCTTTTCTTTGTGTTCAGTTTACAGCATTACCCTAGCAATCAATTTAATAGGCTGTTTAGCTTGGCTGATAGCAGGAGGTGATGCTACCAATTTTGGCCTGGCAATTCTTTGGCTAGTTCTTTTCAGCCCCTGTTCATACATCTGCTGGCTTCGTCCAATTTATAAAGCATTTAGGTAAATACTGTTGGAAGATATAAAGAATTTCAGAAAACTTTATTTAGATCCTCCAGTTTGTATTTTCAGCTTGTTTCTTTTTGCCTTTTAACAGATCTGACAGCTCTTTTAATTTCATGGCGTTTTTCTTCGTATTTGCTGCCCAGGTTGTTTTGGCAGCTTTACAAGCAATTGGATTCAAAGGATGGGGAGCCTGGTGAGTAATTATGCTTTCTTCATAGTAGGAAAAGGGATCTTTTCCAATATATGTAGCCTTTGCTTTATTCTTTACTGTCTGGACTCTTGGGTCCTGTATGGTCTCCATTCCAACATGTAGCAGTTGAGTTTTGTTAATGTAGTACTTTATACGTGTCACAAGATGGCAAAACTTTTTCACAGTGCTCAGCAGAAGTATATTCCAGTGATAAGGAAGAACTGTAGGAAAAGAGAGAGCCAGCCATGGATGTCTAAGGAAATAAAGGAAAGTATCAGATTGAAAAAAAACACAAAGAAAAAAGCAAAGAGTAGTGGGAAACTAGTAGACTGGGAAATCTTTAAAGGCCAACAGAAAGCCACAAAAAAAGTTATAAAGAAAAGTAAGATGGATTATGAGAGTAAACTAGCTCAGAATATAAAAACAGGCAGCAAAAGTTTCTATAAATATGTAAATCGTAAAAGAGTGGCGAAGGTAAACATTGGTCCTTGAGGATGAGAAAGCCAATTTAATAACTGGGAATGAGGAAATAGCCGAGACATTAAACAGTTATTTCGTGTCGGTCTCCACAGTGGAAGACACAAATAACATGCCAAAAACTAACGGCAAGAAGGTTATAGCAGATGAGGACCTAGAAACTATCATTATCACTAAGGAGGCAGTGCTGGGCAAGCTAATGGGGCTAAAGGTAGACAAGTCTCCTGGCCCTGATGAAATGCATCCCAGGGTACTAAAAGAGGTGATGGGGGAAATAGCAAATGCACTAGTAATTATTTACCAAAATTCACTGGACTCTGGGGTGGTTCCCACAAATTGGAAAACAGCCAATGTGACGTCACTGTTTAAAAAAGGAAGTAGACAAAAAGCAGGTAACTATAGGCCAGTTAGCTTAACTTCGGTAGTGGGGAAAATGCTTGAATCTATCATCAAGGAAGAAATAGCAAGACATCTGGATATAAATTGTCCCATTGGGAACACCCAGCATGGGTTCATGAAGAGTAGGTCATGTTTAACTAATTTGGTGGAATTCTTTGAGGACATTACTTGCATGGTGGACAATGGGGAACCTGTGGATGTGGTGTATCTGGATTTCCAGAAGGCATTTGACAAGGTGCCACACCAAAGGCTGCTACATAAGATAAAGTTGCACGGTATTACAGGTAATGTATTGGCATGGATAGAAGATTGGTTGACCAGTAGAAAGCAAAGACTATGGGTAAATGGGTGTTTTTCTGGTTGGCGGTCAGTGGCTAGTGGTGTGCCTCAGGGAACAGTGTTGGGACCTCAATTGTTTACAATTTACATAGAGGATTTGGAGTTGGGGACTAAGTGTGGTGTGTCAAAATTTGCAGATGACACTAAGGTGAGTGGTGGGACAAAGTGTGCAGAAGACACAAAGTCTGCAGAGGGATATAGATAGTCTAAGTGAGTGGGCAAAGGTCTGGCAGATGGAGTACAATGTTGATAAGTGTGAGGTCATCTGTTTTGGTAGGAATAACAGCAAAATGGACAATGTTTTAAATGGTAAAAAATTGCAGCACGCTGCTGTGCAGAGGGACTTGGGTGTCCTTATGCATGAATCGCTGAAGGTGGGATTGCAGGTGCAGCAGGTGATTAAAAAGGCAAATGGAATTTTATCTGCCATTACTCGAGGGATGGAGTTTAAAAACAGGGAGGCTATGCTGCAGCTGTATAGGGTCCTGGTGAGGCCACACATGGAGTACTGTGTGCAGTTTTGGTCTCCTTACTTGAGAAGAAATGTACTAGCACTGGAGGGGGTGCAGAGGAGATTCACTCAGTTGATTCCAGAGTTGAGAGGGTTGGATTATGAGGAGAGACTGAGTATACTGGGATTATACTCATTGGAATTCAGAAGAATGAGGGGAGATCTTACAGAAACATATAAGATTATGAAGGGAATAGAAAAGGTGGAGGCAGGGAGGTTGTTTCCGCTAGCAGGTGAAACTAGGACTAGAGGGCATCGCCTCAAAATAAAGGGAAGCAGATGTAGGACTGAGGTCAGGAGGAACTTCTTCACCCAAAGGGTTGTGAATCTGTGGAATTCCCTGCCCAGTGAAGCGGTTGAAGCTACCTCGCTGAATGGTTTTAAGGCAAGGCTAGATAAATTTTTGAACAGTAAAGGAATTAAGGGTTATGGTGAGTGGGCGGGTAAGTGGAGCTGAGTCTCAAAAAGATCAGCCATGATCTTATTAAATGGCGGGGCAGGCTCGAGGGGCCAGATGGCCTACTCCTGCTCCTAGTTCTTATGTTCTTAACTTCATTGCCAAAAGCTCTGGTAATTAAAATTTTTATAGTAACTTTTAACACAGTTTTCATCTTCGTCTATTGTGAATTCTTCACTTACTGTCAAAGGCTACAAACAGCTAGTGACTGATTTGTTTCAGTGATGGCAATATTTAAAGATCATCAAATATATACCTGTCTGAAGAAATGCAAAATGATGCCAACAAATGCAAACAGATGGGATATCTACCAGGGGTCATTAAGGGGAACCTTTAGTCAGAGGGTGCATCTTTCATATAATGCAGAAAACATGATCGCCTCTAATGTGAAAACTCTTATCTTAAATGCAGAAAGTTAAGTGCCAGTGTCTGTGTCAACACTTTTCCCCCCTCAGGGCCACTAAACTAACGTGATTATTTAATTAGTTTGTGGGACCTTATTTTGTAATACGGTTGTTGTCTTTGCTAATGTTTCAAAAGTACTTAATTGCCTGTGAAGTGTTTAGGGTTTCTTGAAGATGTGAAAATATGAATGCAAAATAATTTAACTGTTAGGAAGCAAAATCTCCCCTGAAGTTTACGATTTTTCTCTGTTTCTTGTGGTTACATTTTAAAGGAGTACAAAAAGAAACTGGGCTTTTAAATCAATAGTGAGTACCAGTTTTAAAAATATGTGTGTTTAACATGTTAACTTTATTCCTTTTTTTTAATTTCAGTGGATGGATAGCTGCCATAAGTTTCTTCTCAGTTAATGTTGGTGCTGGAGTGGTAATGCTTTTCCCTGCAATCATGTTCACAGCAGTAGCGATTCTGAGTGCACTTATTATTTTCCGTGTAAGTTTTGTCCGTTTTTTTCTATAAAGTTCATTTTCCTGTCTCTCTCCTCTTCAATAAGAACCTGGATATGATAGTATGATATTCCTCACACTGTAAGGACTTTATTCAGTAAATTAATGACACTGCAAAACGTTGTAAGGATCCTGCGGGATGTTCCTCGAAGTGATGATCAGTTCTAATTAATTGCACAGTTTACCACTTAGAAGGAGTAGCTGATCATGAACCTGAACACATCAGTGCAGGTAGACTGGGATTCATCAAAAATGAATGTTGAATTCCACTCTGATAGTTCCTTACTTTCAAGAAATTTATTTCCAAAGCTCTGGCAAAACAAGTTTCATAAATCTGCTGATCTTAATTTATTTCCTTTATGTTTGATTACCTTTGATACTAATTAAAATGGTGCTTGCCTTTTTTCTGTGCCTTTATCTAGAATGCAGCTATATTTCCAATATCAAAGTGAAGTGGTACAGTCCTTCGCTAGGCTATGATACAACTTCTAAGTCTACAAAGCATTAATTCAGTATTACAAATTGTGTGTATTTGGATTCAACCTGTTTGGACAAGTTAATACATACCTCCTTAACAGGTGGGGCTTGAACCTGGACCTGCTGGCCAAAAGGCAGAGTCAGTGATGTATTGTAGAGCAAGTAAACACTTCGAATTAAAAGTTACTTTTTTTTTTGGTAATAGCCTCATGAAATTATCAGGTTCGATTGAGATCTTGCCACCATCATGTGTACCTTGGATGGCATAGTATGGCTATGTGCAGAATAAAGCCCACTGTATACTGCCAATAAATGTGCTGTAACTCTAATCTCAGAAAAAAACTCACTGTTATTCTTTTTGTTTTAACAATTGCTTTGAGTAACTTTATTTTGTCAGTTTATGTATGTTGTGTTCAGGGATTATACTGAATAGGAAGATTCCAATCCAATAGAATCTAATTCTAACTCCAGAGTAGTTGCAAAAACCAATCTCTACTGAGCAGAATAGTATCTGTTCACATTTACGTTTGTGAATGTTGAGATTTAATCAGTTTGGGATAAATTTTGAGTAATAATAATACCAAGCACAGTTAGATGGGACTAGTTTAGTTTGGGATTATCGTCGTCATGGATTGGTTGAACCGAAGGGCCTGTTTCCTTCAGTACGACTTTATGAATAGACCCTGTTCAGCACGAGAAACTTTGTTGTACTTTGCTCATTTAAGCTCTAAATTGCAATAGTGTGTGATGGTAGGAAGGAGAGAGTAATAATAGAAGGATGCTTGTCAGACTGGAGGCCTGTGACTAGTGGTGTACCTCAGGGGTCAGTGCTGGGCCCATTGCTGTTTGTTATCTGTATCAATGATTTGAATGAGAATGTGCAAGGCCTGATTAGTAAGTTTGTGGATGACACCAAAATGGATGGCATAGCGGACAGTGAGGAAGGTTATCAGAAATTGCAGCAGGATCTTGATTGGCAGAGTAAGTTGGCCGAGAAGTGGCAAATGGAGTTTAATATAGATAAGTGTAAGATGTTGCATTTTGGAAAGTCAAATCGAGGTAGGAGTTTCATGGTGAATGGTAGGGCCTTAAGGAGCGTAGTGGAACGGAGGGACCTTGGAGTTCAGGTGCACGGTTCTTTGAAAGTGGAGTCACAGGTCGACAGGGCAGTGAAGAGGCTTTTGGCACGCTGGCCTTCATCGGTCAGGGCACTTGAGTATAGAAATTGGGAAATTACGTCGCAGTTGTACAGGACATTGGCGAGGCCGCATTTAGAGTATTGTGTTCAGTTTTGGTCACCTTGCTATAGGAAGGATCTTATTAAACTAGAAAGAGTGCAGAAGAAATTTATAAGGATGTTGCAAGGACTCAAGGGACTGAGTTATAGGGAGAGTTTGGACAAGCTAGGACTGCCTTCTTTCGAGCAAAGGAGACTGACAGGAGACCTTACAGAAGTGTATAAGGTCACGAGAGGCATGGATAGGGTCAATGCACTCATTCTTTTTCCCCAAAGTTGGGGAATCGATGATTAGAGGGCATCAGTTTAAGGTAAGAGAGGAAAGAATACATGGGAACCCGAGGGGGACCTGTTTTACACAGACTGTGTTGCACATATGGAATGAGCTGCCAACGGAAGTGGTTGAGGCAGGTACATTAACAACATTTATAAGGCATTTGGACGAATACATAGATAGGAAAGGTTTAGAAGGCTATGGACTAAGTGCAGGGAAATGGGGTTAGCGTGGATGGACACTTTGGTTGGCATGGACCAGTTTGGGCCAAAGGGCCTGTCTCAGTGCTGTAGGACGGTATGACTCTATAACCATGAAAAGAGGAGATTTATAAAATACAATTTATATTTTTTCTTTTAAAAGAGAAGATCTTTCACAAATGCATTTAATTTAGGTCCCTTAATGTCAACTAATGGGAAATTTTAATGTTATTGTTCTGGGACTAATTGAAGGATGTAATTTAAAAGTTTAGGAACATCATTCTAGTTTGTTGGACCATTCACCACTCTCTCCTTTCCTGCTTCTCCTGTCTGCCTGCCTTCCTTATAATTCTGACTTTCCTTCTTTGACCTTCTATCCTTTCCTCTGTTTAATTCACACTCTGCAAAGCTCACAATATGAACTCGAGTCATAGACCTGTACAGCGTGGAAACGGACCCTTCAGTCCAACTCATCCATGCCGACCAGATATCCTAAATTAATCTAATCCCATTTGCCAGTATTTTGCCCATATCCCTCTAAACCTTTCCTAATCGTACACCAATCCAGATGCCATTTAAATGTTGTAATTGTACCAGTCTCCACCACTTCCTCTGGCAGCTCATTCCATACACACACCACCATCTGCATGAAAAAGTTGCCCCTTGGGTCTCTCTTAGATCTTTCCCCTCTCACCTTAAACCTATGCCCTTTGGTTTTGGATTCCACTACCCTGGGGAAAATACCTTGGCTATTTACCCTATCTGTGCCCCTCATGATTTTATAAACTTCTTTAAGATCACCCCTCAGCCACCGATGCTCCAGGGAAAAAGCCCCAGCCTGGTCAGCCTCTCCCTATAACTCAAATCCTGCAACCCTGTCAGCATCTTTTGTAAATCTTTTCTGAATGCTTCCAATTTTCATTATTGTGTAAATCTTAGTTTATCAACTATCAAACCAATCAGCAAGCAGAATCCTTCATGTAAGAGGCAGTTAACCACATGTTCAACATGATTGATGGCAACCTTGCAGAGTTTACAAATCTTTTTATACACATAAAATATGAAAGCTGAGGGCAAATTTAGGAAACCAGATTTAATGTATCTGTATTTACTATTATTTATATAACAGGTGCACAGAATATACCGAAGTGGTGGTGGAAGCTTTCAGAAGGCCCAAGAAGAATGGAGTGCTGGCACATGGCAAAATCCACCACCAAAGCAATTAGCATTTCAAACTGTTACTGGCAATACTCTACCCCAATATCCCACAGTACCAAGATACCCCTGTCATGATGAGTGGTCTTAGGGTATGAACGTTAAAGAGAAAAGTACTTTACTTACCTTCTGTGATACCATTTTACATTAAATCACAAATTAACATTTCCTAACAGAAAAAGTAAATATCTGGTATTGTGCTATGTACTGAAAAGTTAAACCTTCTTTCATTGGAACTTGCAGTACAAAAGCCTCAAAATCATGAGTAGTGGCATTGGAAAATGCTTTTCTTGCCTGCTTTCTTATGTATTATGTATACATAATTTTTGATTCTGGGATTGAGATTTGTGGTCAGTGCTCTCTGCTGTAGAATTGGATTTCAAAAAGACATTAAATTGCATGTGAATACTCCCAAATTTAGTTTGTAATTTTAAAAGTTGAAGTATATTGTTCTCTTTTTAATTTGATCATGACCTAGAGTTAGACTGCATTGCCAACTCTCCAGTAAAATCTGAACAAAATGTAGAGCAGTCGAGCTGTAGCAGTGAAAATACAGCAGGTATTTAAGTGTCATTAGAACAGTGCTGGAAATATTGAGTTGGGCAGGAAGTATCTGAAGAGGAACGTTAATATTTCAGGTTGATGCTGTTTTGTCATACCCGAAATGCTAAGACTCTCCATAGTTGCTGCTGATGAACAGATTATTTACAGAATTTTCTGTTTTTATTTTGGATTTCCAGCACTGCAGTATTTTTGCTTTTGTATATGTGTTTGATGTCATTTCCCAGAAATCAACTGAAGATAATAATTTAAAGTTTTGTTTTCGATCACTGGTAATTTCTTCAGTTTGTTCTTTAAATGAATAGTTTGTGCACCACTAATGATCTATTTTGCTATTTGCTCTCAGAGATGTCAAAACTGTTATCAGTAGATTCAAATTGATAGCCAGGAGTAATTTTGGCAGTCGGCCTTAGGTTCTGAATCCTTTGCAACTTCTGTTATTGAATCACTCCTAGCATCTAGTGTTCTTTTCTGTAATGGAATTTCATTTACAGATTACCTCACCAATTAGTAAAGACCCTGCACGTTTACTTTAATATGTGCAAGTTCCAAAAAAAATTAGTATGTTTGTTTTAATATCAGTACACAATTATACATGTATATGTTTATTAAATAATCATAATTTGAATGTGCTTTTGCTCAGGACAGGTGCTGTGGGAGGCAACGTGCATTTAGCCAAGAATTTGAACAATTTGTGAGATGATTTATGGATAAACTTGATTATCTGTAATGAACATAATTGCAGATATGCTTTAATGCAGTCCTGGTTCGGAGGGGTGATGGTAAATAACATCTAATTACTACTCAACTTTTCATAAAATCAAAACTATATTTGGAAGATTGTTCTGGATATTAACGATAATGGAAACCATTATTTGAAAATTATGATTTCCAGTGTGGGTAGCAGGACTGAGAGACACTTAGAAACATAGTGGCTCCTTGATATATTGAATCACACCAATTATGGGGCCATTATTTTGGCACAAATCATTTGTGTTATTGTTTGCATAAGTTTTAAGCTGACATGCTGTTTAACAAGCCATTATTTCTGTGAAGTTTACTTAGCCAGTTTTTTGAAACTTGTTCAATGTGATAATTACACTATGAATACTTTGGCCTTAAAATGTGATTTAGTGAATAGCTGAGAAACTGTTACTGCATTAACTGTAATCTGAAACGTACAGTTTTTGCCTGTGTTTGGAAAACTCACCGTATACTTAAAATATTTACAACAGCAGACATACTAAATGACAAGTGATATGGATGATTAACCAATATAAACTGTAGGCATCTGAAAAATTTTGAAATATTTACATTGTTTGACATTCTTGATATTGCCTGATGTGAAAACTCATCCCCTAATCCTGTACTTAAGTTGAAGGCTTGTTTCCATCAGTTACCAAGCATGAAGGTTTTTCATAACACCTAATCCAAACAAACTTTTTATGTAATGTTAGACATTAGTTCTACGTATGCAACTTTTCTTGATCTCAAAAGAAAAAACATTCCAGGATATTATTAAACTTTGTCACGCTGACTTGGAAATGTGATTCGAGATATGATGACTTTTACTTATGAACTGTCATGAAGTTAGTTAAACTTTGTGTATGCCGTATCAAAAACAAATCCAAGTTTTCTCATTCAATGCTGGAATATTTCAATCTGTAATATGTTTACTGCTTATTGGAAAATGATAAAGATAGTTGCATTTTCAAAATTAACTAGAAGAAATTTTTGGAACTTGTTCATCCTTTGTTGTTGATTAATTCAGTTTTTACTTTGAAGGAATTGGATTATTTTTGTCAAATCAGTTGTGTTCAGGGTATGTGGTGGGCATAATGAGAAACTGGATAGGACAAGTATCAGTAGTTCCCTGTGGCATTGACACCAGTGCTGTTTCACATGGAAACCATGCCTGCTATTGACACATGGAGTAAGGTTTTACTTACCAATTAATTTACTTGATCACATTTAATGTAGTTATATAAGAAAAGAGGAAATGGACCAACATGGTGGGCAGCTACGATTTCAAAGCTGTTTCTTTCACATGTCTTTCAAGATCTATTTCGTTTGCTTGCAATTAGAAAACAATTAAAGGACCAAAAAAAAATCCTCATACATATTGAACATATATAAAGTATTGAACTTTATTTAAGTTTGCTGTAACCCTTTTCAGAAGTGTACTTACCTCTAATGTTGTGCTGCAGCTGCCAAAATAAGGTGTGCGCCTTTATAGTGTTTCTAATTAGAAATGTTTTGTACTTTGAGAAGTTTTCAACATTGGGGACATTGTTGTCCAGGAAGAAATTAGCTTTGCCTTGAACACTTGGATTTTTTGATGAAATTCTTCCTAAGTATCTACATAGTTGCAACTTCTGTGTAATTAACACTGGGTCACTGAGATTCTGTTTTCACATTTGGAGAATTACAGAAACCTTAGCCTCTGAATATTTGTTTTCAAATTTATTTCTTTTGGAAGGGAGAAAGCTTAAAGGAGAAACACTCAAATATTTGCCTGAATAATTCCATTGTTCAAGGAATTGGATCTAAATATATATTTGGTCAACACAAATATGATTGATCTCTTGGATTGCTTTAATATATTAATATAGAGACTTACGCACTTATAAATTTTATTAATGCTCTTAAACAGTTGATTAATTGCCGTAGTTGAAATGCAGGTATGACAATGATGAATATGTAAAATTTATTCATTAAGGATGCATCTGAAAATTCAGTGGACAGCACATGGACCCTTGGATTATAAAAAATATTCAGTTTAAATATTAGTTACCATAAGCATATAATATCGCAGGTTTGCTTTCAATATTTGTTCTTGCATGAGCTTTTTACATACATTTCTCCCTTAGTTCCCAATTAAAATTTATTTTGTTAATTCCCAGATAGGTTAAAATTGGAATTAGTTGTACAATTATTGGCACCTGAATTTATATTATGTTTTAGCCTTTGAAAATTACATGCTAAAATCAGCTGGTGAGCAGACAAGGACATTTTATGTAAAATCTTGTCTGCAGTGATGCTGAGTAATGGGTGAAAGACCTGTAGGCCGCACACTTTTTTTTTCATGGAGAAGATTTATCAGTTAACTCGTACTTTGTCAAGGCTGTTTGGTTGAAATCTTAAAACACAGCAACTGAGGAGAACTGAAGGTCATCAGAATGCTTGCAGTCATGTCTCAACATTCTAGATTGTGGGCGAAATCAGTTTAATGTGCACCATGTTTAAGCTGTGCAAAACATCCCTTTTTAGTTTGTTGAAGCATCATAAAAACTTATTTTATTGATGCTGTAAGCAACACTCTCATTCTTTTCAAAATTTGCCACATTTTTGAAAAATGTATAAATACTGAAACAAAAATGAACTTTTTGCATCAAGCAATTATTACAAAGCAATTGTTATTTACAAATCTTTGTTTTGGAATAAAGCATATGTATCAGGTGCAAATTTACACAGGCTAATTCTCTTGCAGTGGGATTTAAAAACAAACCCAAAAGCCAACATATGGAAATCAATTGGGAATGTATAAAATAGTCATAACTTAATTTTGGAAAATGTAATTGATTTGAAGTAGGTCATCAAATATGAGCAGATGAGAGGCAAAGCTGTGAACTCAATTTCTTACTGCAACTATTTCTACTAGCAATATGCACAGCGATACTTTATTTTTAAAAAAATGCAAAATAAAATTTCTTGTCTGGTATGTTAATATTGTCTTAACATTGAATCGGCAGGATTTGCATAGTTCATGAGACCTAGGATTTGAAGCTTGCAGTTTAACTCTAGCTGTTTATTTTAGTTAGGGCAAAACAAGCTATTGATGCTCAATACTCATAATGTGTAGTATGATGTGCATTAAACAGATGCTTTTGGTTGATTTTATTCTGCAAGTTATTTATCTTTAACTTCAACAATACCTTCAAAATTAAGATTCAAGTTGATAACTGACTTTTTTGCATAGCATTTGAAGTCCATACATTGTTTTGAGTCATTTAATACCTGCCTTTTTTTGCTTTATACCTGAACATTGAAGTCTTTTAATCTGAGGATATTTTTCTACACACACTGACATATTCTAGAAAAGTCATTTATTAAAAATTCCATTACTTTCATTCGCAAGACATTTAAATTAGAACCGAATTATGAGATTGATTGCATCTTCTGTAATTAGAGATGAACTATTCAACGTAGGGTGTACAATTTTAAGCACTGGAGGAAAAAGAGCGGAGTGATTTTTTTTC